CCCCAAAACCCCAAAACCCCAAAACCCCAAAACCCCTATATTAAATAAGCAAATTGACGACCAAAAATCTATTCGTTTTGTGCTGTATTTAATATACTTGTTAGTGTAACAAAATTGAAGATAATGTACTGAAGGGCTCTCAAGAGGCTTAAAGACCCTTGGCGAGGTCTTCCTTCAAAGATGCTTTCAAAGCATACAGTTTTGAATAGATTTCACCTGAAATCTGATCCATGGTATATTGCATCTTCCTGAGAGCTTTGGGAGCAACCTGCTCCAAGCTTTCAGAAGTTGCTAAGCTAAAATATGGAGAAATACCCACTGTGAGATCTTTCTTGAACATCATTGTTGAGACTAAGTTTGATGTGGGGAGTGTCTCAATAATTTCAGATCTCTTTTGAGGAAGCATATCCAAAATTTTATCTGCTTTTGAATTTAATGCACTCTTTTTCTCAAGCTGAGCTTTTAACGAAACCAATGTGGATTTCGTTTTCCCAGCAAATAGAATCTGGAATTCTTCTATAGTGTATTTTGTATAGTTTTCCTCAAAATAGAGCTTTTCATGTCTGTTCAGCTCTTGATTGCGGAGTAGTTTACGATATCTTGTCTGTAAAAACCCAAGAGAGCGATTAGTCTCTACTCCTGTCTTCACAAGGTCCCAATAACTCTTCGTAGTAGAGTTTTTATTGATATTGTCAAATAGGAGCTCAGGATAGATCCTCTCTTGCTGCTGAAGAGTCAAAATAGTCTTCACAAGCTTTCGGTCTTGCCACTTTAGCCATCTATTGGCACGAGATTTATTTGTAGACGTTCCTTCGCTTAATGTCTCAACACTATAAGAAGACCCAGTGTTAGATGAGCAAAAGATTTTTCTGAATGGATCACCCTCATTCTCGTTTTGGATAAAAGACTCTGCTTCTGGGATATCAGGAAAATCTATAGTTCTCAAATTAACTTGATGCACGATATATGTAAAAACTTTTATACGACAGGTCAAGACTGTGAGAATTTATTTTTGAGAATTAAAGACCAAAGTACTAGAAGGATAAAATTCTATGAAACATTCATAAATTTCAAACTGAAACTTATGGATGAGAAATTTAGGCTTCAGAGACATGTTTTTACTAATCTTTTTGAGGAAAACTAGAAATGAACGGGGTTCTGAGCCTCTGAGGTTATTAGAGGCTGAGGAAATGCAGTGTCAGAAATCAGTTAGGAATCCTACTAGTTTTGGACTCATCCATTTTGATGAGAAACTTCTTATATAACAGTTATGAATTCCTGCAAAAAAATTTGAATTTTCTTTTATATCAAAATTTGTAAATTTTTTATGACATAAGAAATTTATGCTTACCATCAAGCTCTGGGATATTGAGGTTGAACTCCTCCAAATATGGTGTGTCCTTAAAAAGGTTTTCTTCTTGTCAGCTATATCATATTAGAGATAGTTCCAAAGAGAATTAAAAATAGCACTCTAGATAGAGGGTTCTAGAAATAGTAGCCTTCAATTAGCACCAGGAAGTCAGTATATTTACCTTTCAGACATGCTCAATGGGAACATATTCAATATTTATTTTACCAGAAAGCAATCCAATTTAATTTATATTATACGGGGTTTTGGGGTTTTGGGGTTTTGGGGTTTTGGGGTTTTGGGGTTTTGGGG